TGGCCCATAATGACTTCTTTTCACGTTGACTTAAACCAACTTTTTTTTCACGTTTTTTCTCCACCTCTAAGCCGCTTGAAGCACCTCTGAGGCCAGAGGCCTTTGCATGTGGCATCCGAAGCGGGCCACCTCCACGTGGTCGACCGGCTCACGCAAGCCAAGGCCAACTTGGAGGCGGAGGAAGGCATGTGGTGCATGGAGCCCCAGAGGCTTGTGAAGATTTTAAGACAAGAAGAGTTGTGGTTTGGTAAGTTTTCAAGAAGACTCTTATGATGCTCTTGGAGCTACCATCAGTGCGGTACAATCACTGGTATGCACGTTCGCGGAAAAGTCTTTGATGTTTGGTGCACGGTCAACTCGAGCAGAGGCCACTGGAGGCAATAGCCTTTGCAATGGAGAAACTTCCAATTTGCTGGGTGCGTTCGTCGTCGAGAGTCCTGCCCATGGTGCCCCACAATAGCGTCATGGAATGTGATAGACATGCTTGCTCCCAAGCAACAGAGAATTCCAAATGTCCAAAGTGACCTGCCATTCTTCATGAATTGAGAGGGGCATCAACTTCTTAATCACGTTGACTTAAACCAACTTCTTTCCACGTTTTTTCTTCCGCCTCTTCCGGAGAAAACCAAAGTCCTTCCGACTCTTCGGCGCCGCCACGGCCGAGGCCGGACGCCGCTGCATCTTGCGGCGATGGGAGGCCACCCCGCCACGGTGGACCGGCTCGTGGCGGCCGGCGCCGCCGTCGACGCGAAGGACGGAGATGGCCGGGGCGCCACGGAACGGGGCAGCGGATCGGGCTCAAGGACCGGCCTCAGAACCGAGAGAATTGGACGAAGGACGAGAGGGAGTCCGGTTGGGTGAGGTCCTCGAAATTAGGGTGCCATTGTGCAACTGTTTGAATGCGATTCAGACTTCGTGAACCCCGAGAATCCCCCCAAAAGCAAAGCAAATCCGTGAACCTCCCCAAAAGGATCCAACTCGACGTGCACGCGCCTCTCCGCTGATTCCCTCCCTGCAGACCTTTAAAAAAGAGGAACTATTCTCCGCTCGTCCTCCGCGCCGCGTCCTGAGATGATACGCCTCTCCACTGGGCGGCCCGCCGCGGCCACTCCGACGCGGCGCAGCGCCTGGTCGACGCCGGCGCCGACGTCGACGCCCAGGACGACCGCGGCCCGGGGCGCCCGGAGAGCGGAGAACGGAGAGCGGATCGCGTCGGGGTCGGCGTCTCTCGGCGTCGACGGCGACGGGTCGCCTTGCGCCGAAGCAAAGCGCGGCCGAGGCGAAACGCCCTGGGATTTGGCCCAAAGGGTTGGCAAAGAGAGGCCGATGGCGCCGGTTCTGCGTCCCGTGCCTTGGCAGTGCCTAAGTCGGGTGATGGGCTCCCAGGAAGAGAGAGAGGGTTGAGGAGGAGGGAAGGAAAAGAAGAGGTTCTCGTTATAGGGACGGGTATGTTCTTTTTGGGATGGAGGATTGGCGGTTTAAATCAAATACATGACATTCATGAGGTGCATTAAGCTTATTGATTCGTGTTTGGGATTTGTTTGGTGAGTTGCTTGTTGTTGGCTCTGACTGGGCCAGACAACAAAGTGACTTGACATTTGGACATGGACCACATTTAGACCACAAACGGTTAATGAACCAAGACCAAGAGTGTAAATTCAGTACTGCCACTATTGCAAAGGATACATTCGCGGATTAGTTGTGACGATTGGAGACTCTGGCTTACTTGCTTTAATCAGGAACACCCTTTAAGCATTGTTAATCCGTTTTAAGCAGCTAGGCTATACACATACATGGTTCATGATGCTTGCTTCACTTGACACAATTATTTCTTCCCACTGAGATACAGATTGGGTGTGTCACACAGCCTTTTTGCCTCAACTACTGTCAACTAATGCTTGTCATGGCTTCGCAAACTGCTCAGGTCCAGGTGGGCCTGCTGAGTGGCCGAACTGTGCGCTGCAGCTTGGCTGCAAGTCAGTGGGGTGTCGCCAGCTCAGCTCTTAGATGGAAAAAACTGACTGAGTTGTTTTAGAGTTTTTCTGTGCCATATTGCGGATCTTGAAACTTTGCTTCTCAGACATGCCGGGTGCTGTACAAAAACATACAAGCCAAGCAAATAGCAAAAAGTCGACAAAAGGCCAAGTAAGCGCAGCTAACGAGTTTGAGCATCTACAAACTCCGATGGATGATATGTCCTGCAAGCTGTGACCAACCCTTTGCGATTTGCTCCAGATGTTGGACTTTGTGAGGTGACCCGGAGCCCAGCCGTACAGTGCGAGACCTGCTCGAAGAAGCCCAGCAACTTTGAGGCAGCAAGTTGACATGAGTTGGCTCTGTTGAGCTCTGATGTGCGGCACCTCTTGACATTGGTTCCTGGGGTGTATGTCATGATTTCAATTTGCATTCGATGCAAAAACATGCTGAAATCCCACTCCGCAATGGCTCCAGTCTATGCCTTCCTACAATTGCAAGCCTCATGTGCCTCGATTTGTTGATTTTGAATGTGGATGCGTGTTTGCTCTCCTGATCTCTTCAGCCAACTTCAAGGCCAGCTGAAACAAATTAATGTGCGCTTGAAAAACCAATGCAGCTGATGAATGTCATGCTGGAGGGATGGTGTTGCAACGGTATAAGACTCTGTCACTCTTCTACATCATTGGTGTTGCAGAGGTTACACCGCGATGGTCATTTTTGGCCAAGGTCAAAGCTTGGGACTGGGATCAAGCAGCTCGTCACGAGCTCTGGGACTGTTTTGTGCTTCCCGCATGTTTTGAGTTTTGAATGTTTCGAGTTGAGCGGCTTCGGCAAAGTCTCACGGAACATAGACGCTTTTGGGCAAAGGACGGTAAAAAATAACCGTTCAACGCAGTTGCATACCAAGATCACAATGTCCTCATGAAATTTTGAAATCTTTAGTCACTTTAGTCCTTAGACCTGAGAAGTCTGTGATATCAAGGATTCGTGTGCCTGGCCCCGTTTTTTTCCAAGAGATGTATCTTCCTTTTGGGGGCAGCAAATTTTCCTGCCAGGAAAGAACAGTTGTCTTTGCAAGAAGCTGGCATTGACTACACCAGTTTTGTGACCGCCATTGCTCCGGCCCAACAGCCTAGCAGAGTGAAAGACTGTCAGTCTTTGACTCAACTGATTCCATTGGGCATGTTGGGTTGTGATGTCGAAACATGTTGCTCACAGATTGGTTAAGGAAAACCAGCGTTGTGTTGCTGTGAGGTCACCGATGGTGAGGAGCGGCCGGATATGATGTCGTGGGAACATGAACAGTCGTTGGGTTTTTCTTGAGAGGTCAATATCCTCACAGGTGGATGTGTTGCATGTTTCTTTCTTCAGACCCAGAAGCACAGCTTCCACGGATGTGTGCTGCTCAAGGATTTGATATGCGGGACCTTTTGATGTCATGTTCTATTCAGGCCGCACAGATTTGTTGCCGGAACACCCAGTCCTGGGTCGTCTTATCCATGAAATCGCTCTCTTTGTTTGCTGAAACGCCAGGAAATCAGTGCTTCACAAAGTGCGCCTCAGGCACCGAAAAAGTTGAGAAGCAATCACTTGTTGTCTTCATGTTAGTTCAAAGTCAAAAATGAATGGGAACACGCACATACACAGAAGCATGATTCTTTGGGCTGGTTCGAGGAGGAGGGAGAGAAACTCTTGAAATCAGGCAATCGGAACTTGGTGTGCTTCTTTTGCAAGTCATGAGTCCTGATCGCAACCTCACAAAAACATACAAAAACTATGCCTCTGAAGCTTCAAAGGAGACACAGGGAGGATATCTCGAAGCTCTTGGAGTCCTTGGAACTCGGAGCAACCCGGAGTAAAAAGTTATTCGTTGGACTCGCTATCTGAAAGTTTCAAGGCAAGGCAATTAATATATTAAGAAAGCTTCATGATTTCGACCATTGGCAATCCACTCACGATCGACGCCGTATAATGTCGTTCATACTATTAAAAATATTTGCATTAATGGTGCCACTGTGGCTAGCAATCACAAATTAGATTGCCGTGTTGAGCAGCCATACTAGGAAGTTCGCTTGCTAGGAACCTGCAAGGGTTGCTTTGCTCACTTCAGATCATGGAAGTGCAATGAACTTTCTTCTTGTTGCCAGAGTCACATTTTGTGCATTTTGAGGCAAGTACAACCTGCAAGACCCGCAGCAGCTGATTCGACTTCTCCTCGACGCAAACATTGGCTTGATGCGGTTGGAGTACTTGCGGGAGATGCTTGCCGCAGATCGAAGGTTCCCTCGCAGGCAGGAAGCAGACTTCGAAGTCACGGCTGCAGGTCTTCCTGCCATCGTTCAACCATCAGAGTTGCAGAGTGTGGAGATTGATGACTTGGGCAACATGAGCATGTACGTCATGGACCCCACACCGCGGAGGGTGACGGTGCTTATCATGTCAATCTCTCACGTTTGGGAGAGCATGGAGCATCCAAACCCACATGGGTTTCAGCTCCACGAGATCGTCCAAAAGTGCCCCCCAGTCACCTCCACTTGTGCAGTTTGGATCTTCTATGACTTTAGCTCGCTTTATCAGTACGGTGGCCGAACTGAACCACAGGAAAGGTACTTCAGAGAAGCTTTGGCACACATGCACACCCTCTACGCCCACGAGGCAATCAAGGTCCACATAGTGGAAGAGCTCACTCCTGAGACATGGAAGCGTCCAGGAACTGTCAATGCCTTCTCTGAGAAGGCAGGGCGTGTGATTCCTATGCCAATTGACCAACTCACGGTGAATATGACACCTTACTTGCTCCGAGGATGGTGTCAAGCCGAACGGCAATGGTCAAGCCTGCGGATGTCATTAGACAACTGCGTTCCAATGCCACCGGACCTATTCCGCCACAAGATGGAGGAACAAGGTCTCCGTTTCACCCACCATGATGACAAAGAAGTTGTGATGAAGCTGCAAGCTCAGGTCTTTGCAGAGAAGGTCTTGACCACCCGGCAGTTGATGGCAGAGCGGTTGGACGCAGATGCTCTTGACGTTCTTTGTGCAGCTTTGCCGTTCTATGCAGATCTAGATGAGGTCGTAGTCACCGGCAACTTATTGCCATTGAATGCAGCTGTGGCAGTGGCTAAGACGAATGCACGATCCTACCAAATGGAGTCCTGTGGACTCGGAGATGAAGATGTGGAACACATCGCTGCAATATTACTACGTTGCAACAAGGTCGAGGAGCTGAGACTAGCACGTAACAATATAGGCAAGAGAGGGCTTCAAGCCTTGGGAGACTTGAGGAAAGCAAAACCGAACCTCTACATCGATGTCCTAGCCGACGAAGCAAATGGCTCCGAGACCTGACATGAAAGACAACACACAGGCGCCCGACCGTTTAGCTGTGTGCACATCCTGGCTGAAGTTGCCTTTTTGCTTTTATTATGCGGAACGCCAACAGATTGTTCACAGATCAAACCTAGAGGACTGGTAGGCCGCTGGGTGAACATGTTGCACGCTTTGGAGGGGGTCTGGTAAGAGGCATCGTGTTGCTTCTCTTTGCAGGGCGGCATTTTGCCAGATCGATGTCACGGCTGTGGAGCAAGATGAAGACAGTTCTTGCCTAAGCAAGCTGGCGACATGCTTAAACGCTTCGTGTCAGACGCTTGAACGCTCAAGGTGATTGATGCTTCAAGGGTAGATGAACCTTTTGGTAGCCGGTTTGGATACACCTTTCTCGAGTCACATGAAGTGTAACCATGGGAGACACGGTTTCATACGAGTATTTGAGAAGCCTTTTTGGAAGCAACCTTGCAAATTGAAAGTTTGTGCATGCGCATGCGACTGCTTGGATGAGGCTCAGTTCGAGTGCCAGCAATTGAGGTTCTGAAATGTCATCAAGCAGGATTGAATTTTGAATTCGTGTCACCGAATGACACACCGAACAAGAGGATTCAAGTGTCGCCCAAGTGAACAGGTGCTTCCTGTCGAGAGAGGGATTGTGAGAGAAGGACAGCTGTTTGAAGTGTTGCGTTTGAAAAGGAAAGGACTTGGTCAATTTGTGCGTAGAGCTCTTACGATGGCTCAACAGAATTGTTAGCCAAGGCAGTTCAGCATTCAGGGCGAAAGAAAAAAACACCGCCGTGGCTGCTCAGAAGAAGAGAAATCATGTGACATCCATGATTCGGGTCTCTCCTCCTGTCCCCTCCTATTCCTAATACTGGGTCATGTTGAATGAGATAAGGGGGCGTCAGCAAAAACCAGAAAAAGAAGCCGCCCAGCCTTGCACTACGTATGGCCGCAACCGTTTCACATCAAGGGCATTTTCCGTGTTCAAAAACGACCCAAAGGCAGAGCGATCGAAGTCAGTTGAGCGCGTGTTGCTGAATGATTATTTGTTAAGAACGGCGGTTTTGAAGACACCCGGAGTTCTCTTGAATCTCTTGTCAACTCAATTCGCTTTCTTTTGTTCTAATCTTCTAGGATCTTCTAGGGTGACTGGGACCTTGCACTCTGTCTCCCTTGATTTGAGTTGCAGTGTCAGGTGACGTCGAAGAAATCTTCTTGAGCAAAGGCCGGGAAACTCAGGTGCCGAGAGGCCTCAGAGGCTCAAATATCTGGCAAACCATGTACAAATTCCGCAACCAAGTGCCAGCTGCTCTGCGGTCACAAGAAAGAAAGGCCATTTGTTGCTCTGATGCGGTTTCAAGGTGAAGATCTGTCACACATTCCTTTGCTTCATCTTGCTTCTCACACACACATATGTCGAGACAACTGTAAGTGTTCTAGCTATTCCCAAAAATGGACTCCGCGGGGAGGTTTTGGACGTTTTGGCCACATCACGACAACGGCAGTTTCATCCAAAACCCCCGGAGTTGTCATCGTCTCTCGTTTCCCGTCTCTCTACTTCTAGATGAAGTCCCAAGAGTCCATTCCGCCTCGCCGGTGGCGAAGGCAGTTTCGATACCATCGACCGCATCACAAACTGTTACTTCCTTTACTTCATCACCGATTCCCGTAACTGTCGCATTTCAATACCGTAACTAACCCTGGCCACGGAGTGCATCAAATTCCTTCCGTAACTTTGGGCTTTGGCTTCCGAAAATTCCCGTAAGTAGTTCCGGTGCCCGCCCATAGCTCGGACACCTCTATGCCTCTATAAACTCTTTATGACTCTTTGAGAAGCTGCCCCACGACTTCCGCGGGTCATCTGATTGCCCCAATCGCTGATTCCGTCAATTCTAAATTTTTGCTATCTCCATGTGGCTGCTCTATTGGGGAGTGAGTCTTAGGCAGTTTGGCTTGGAGAGGCTGTTGTCCCCAGTTGCCAGGCAGTTTGCCAAGGAGCGTCTTCCCCTTCGCGAATGGCGCGGAGTCGGAGTCGCCCACGGAGTCCGAGGTCACCACATTGTCACAAGTCCCACTGGTCCCATCCTTTCAGGTCCTGCCCTTTTCGCCAAGACGCTGCTGTCTCTGTCAGGATGGATCTAATTTCTTATATTGGTTCAGGAGTAGCTCAGGTTGGCCGGTCTTACATAGCCCTGCAGTTGCCCCAAACATGTCTATGTTGCTTTCCATCCGGAAAAAATGGTCCTTCCATTGCTGTCTCATCGTCAGACCGTCCATGACTTTCTCTCCCTTCTTCCAGCTCCAAGTCGCCGAGCGCTTTCAATGTCTCCTTGCTCGCCCAGAGATGAGCTGCCTGAAGATCGAAGCATTTTTGCCCCGATCTCCAAGATGAACTGCCAGTATGATGAAGACATCTTCCTCCGCCCATCTCCAAGATTCTCCAAGAGTGGCCAGACTGTAGTTGATTTCCACCTCTCGTGGTTCCCATTCGGCACTGCTCAGCTGACAATCGCTCCCACCATTCACAATCGGCAATCTCACCTTCCACATCATGAGTTCCATCAGGGTCAAAAACGTCCCCCACGTATGCGAGATGTTTGCAACGACCAGCCCTCGGTTGCTATGGACGTGATGTAAGCTCGTTGACAATACAAAAAAGACTCATCAACGACCAGCCCTTATAGTGGTTCCCAAAGAGATGCAGTGAAGGTTTTTACATCTCCAAGATGTGCGTCGAAGGGGATTGCCACCGTGCATTTCCATTTGCTAAGCTGTACTAAGTTCAATCGATTAAGATTAGATTCATATTGCCCGAGTCTGCGAATGCCAGACTTCAGAGCTTCAATATGCGAGAATCCATTTGGATTGGTCTTGAGGTTGGTTTGGAAACCGCTCCTTTTTCGCAGAAGACTGAAGACTTTGAAGACTTTGATTGACATAGATGTGGAAGGTAGGCTTCTGGAACCTTTAGATGTTGGACACCTCTACCCCCTCACAGCCACTGTGCCAGTAAGCCCTGTGTTCTCTTGAAGCGGGTCCCATGGAAAAGTACGTCAGAAGGGAAGTTGTTGGAGTAACTTGTGACTACACGGGGGCTTTTGTTCTCTCTATTTAGGATAGATGCTTTCTGGGTCGAGGAGGGCCGCTTTAGCTTTTCCCTACCAAGGACAACTCCACCTCGAGCTTGATGTGAGCTCGGCTGTTTACTGGAGCCTGGCTGACCGGAAAACAACACCATGAGGACGTCTTGTTTTTCTTGTTGCACTGCCTGGACTATCCTAGATCTGGAGAAGGCAGAACTAGTTGCCTGCCTCTCCACATCTTGTTTCTCCGGCTCCATGGGATCAGTTTCATGTGTTGTTCGTCATGCGGGCCTTTGTATGACAATGAAACAGGTTGGAAGACATACACCTGAAAATGCATGTTTGATATGCTCCAGTTTGGAGCACTAGTTGTAGTTGTTTGTGCCTTTCGCAGGCTTCGAACACACCAAGAGTCATCCACCCTACCACATTCTTCGGGAACGGACTTTTCACGATTGCTTGGGGGTCCACAGAATGGGGATCCACACCATAAAGAAGCAGGTGCGACTCGGCAGCCTGTTCGATGAGACACATAAGTTTGTCTCCTAAATTGGTCTGAGCGCTTTCACTGATTGCCTGTCAGTGGGTAGAAGCCAAATTGGACAGACATGATGCAGTGTTAGGGAGTAAAGAAAGGGCTCAATACAATTTAGCTTCAAGGTAGAAACTCAAGGACGGACTGACAGATATCGGCCGCAAAGTGAAAGCAGCAGGAACCCATTTTTGTCAATTGACCATTGAAGTGTTTGAATGAATGTGTGCTGTTCAGCTAGCTTAAGATCATCAACGCTGGCCTGGCCATCTTGTACTGTATACCTCGAGTCTTGCTTTCAACTTGAGATTCTTGAACCAACACATATCCGCACAGCCATTTGCAAACCTCCTTGTGACAGGTTTAACGGAATGTCAGCCTGGTTTCCTCACCCGGACCGAGAAATCAAGGCATGGTCTCTAAACATCCTTCAAGACAAGCGCTACGTTTCGCACAGAGAGCAAGCGGCATAGCATCACCCTTCTTCACAACTTCATGAATGCCAATCGACCGGAGGGAGTGGTGCCACATTGGCCTGCTGGACGTACAAAGACCGTAGATTCTCAGCGCCATGGCGTCGCCACCGCCCTCCACAGGAGCATCAACCTTGCTCGTGACTCTTTGAAAAACACATCGCATGATGTTGCATGATGTTGCATGCATTGGGGAATTGGCCCGCCCATTGAAGTCTTACTGATGGGTCAATGTTTGCATGAAAACACGGAGCCTTGATCTGCTGCCTTCATCGATCCGTGGCTCCGTGTCAGGATCCATGCATCCTCCGTGTCAGGCGCCAGAGCCGCTGCACGCTGATTTGTTCGATCGCGGAAATTCCGAACGGTTCGAATCGTCCGAACGGGCCCGGGTTTTCAGTGTGGATTGCACACCTTCTGCCTGTCAGAGCATCAGGGAGTTTTGGGTGACCTGGACTTTGGATGATCGAAATCAGAGATTTGCCATGGTTTGCCACGCCCTGCTAGGCGTAAAGAGGTTTTGCCAGTAGTTTCAGTAGCGGTGCAACATGGTATACTCAAGATACTCAAGTTTTGGCGTGCGAATGACGCCTCCATGCCGCTTAGAATGGAACCTAGGTCAACAAATGTGCCAGTAATGGATAGTAAATGATAGTAATGGTTTTGCACAAGCTGTAGCCCAGCTGTAAATGGCCATCTTGGTTAATGAAGTGTAGTGGGTTTGGCATGGGATGAAAGCCATCAGGCCCCCAAGCCCCTGGTCAAAAGAACGATGCTGTAATTGGCATAAAAATCCGAGTAGGGCAAAACCATCTCAGCCTGTGAGCGGACTCCGTGAGGCAAATGCCTGGGAGAGTCCGGCATTTGAAGCAACCGTTTGCGGCCACCAAATTCTGAAGTTCTTCCATGGCCAGATGCTCTGCAGATGGCAAAGCCGAAGCTCCGTTCGATGGCGGGTCGCAGACTCCGTTTGTCTGTCCGCCTCAACTGCAAATCTGAAAGATTGCAGTCGTCTCCGCTGTCTAAACCAAAGCTGACACTTGCCGGCCAACGGCCTCTCCATATCGGATTCCTGAACCAAGCCTGCCAGGATCACCATGATGCAGATGATGCACTGCTGGGTGGCCGGCATCTCTAACACCGCGAGAGTCCAAAAACAGATGTATCAGATACATCTGTCTCCGCCTCCCTCCTACTGCCCTTCCATCACAGGAGCTCTCATCTCATGGGTGCCACTCCGGACTGTGAAGACAGCGCCTCTGGCCCAAAGCGACCATCCATCTGCTCTTCCCGCATACTTGCATTAGCCGAATCACACCACAGACTGCTAATAATCAAAAGGAACCAAAACTTCCACCGAGAGCCAAATATTGCTCCTCACTCCATCACCTGCCACTCTGCAGGAGCCATGTACGATGTGGTCAATCATCACGGCGAGGAGTACAAAGTCTGGCTTTGCATCTCAGACCGCAGGGGCCGCAGTGTTTCCCTCCATCAGCTGACGAAACTGAAGTCGATCTTACTGTTGAGCCTGGAGTTCACAAGTACAGCTTGCCACACTCGTCACCAGGGATTGAGGGCAAACACTTTGCTCTGCCTGCTGTTCTTGGAGAGTGTTGGAGATCTGGCCTGACACGTCCTGGTGTAGCATGCTCCAGCTTCGATGTGGCTTCCACTGCCATTGGAATCGGAGTCGGCGTCGTATGATATGAACTCCTCTGTGATTCGTCATCCAAGGATCCTCCTTCGAAGCCGTCGGACTGGCCTGCAATTTGTTTCGTTTGGACAGATGCAATCACACTGATCGATCTTGATCAACATTTGACGCCTGGGTGCAAAAGAGCGAATTGGTAATAGTGACTTCTCCATGATCCGTAGTGAACACCGCGTTCTGAGCAGCAACCAGCCAAGCAATGTGCTTGGGCCTGGCCGCCCAACCTTTCCGAGTGTTGTGGATGCCACAGGCTTCTCGATCAGAGGTTGAAGTGGCATGCAAGTCACATGACAAGATCATCACCATTTGTCGCCTTCGTGAAAAGTTTGAAGTGAGGGTGAAAGCGGCCCATGAGGAGGAAGTATTCACCGCCTTGTTCCCTTCGAAGGTATTGTGTGGATTGCCAACCCAAGGATGTCTATGTCTTGCTCCCCTTGCCGGGGACTCCTTCCTGACACATCCCGGGATTCCACATAAAGTCCTCCAACACCAGAAACATGCCGAAGAGGAGGACTGCGATCCGCTGGGGCAGTAAACAGCTGGGCATCTTTGGGTGATGCCTTGCCATGCACTGCCGTCTGAAAGAACCATCCCCAAACCTTCAAGAGCTGCTTGTCCAACATCCTTGTGCCACTTCGGACAGAAACCACAATTGTGCCACTTTGCCGGTGGCCAAAGCCGGAAGATGTGTTTGTAGGATCTGTGATCTGCTGCTGAAATTCTCGCCAATCGCCTTGCCACTCATCTCGATCCAGATGGAGTTTCAAATTTGTGCGTGTAGGAACAGTAAAAACTCGAACTGCCCCCGTCAATGACTTCTTGGAAATTGCTAAATCTTCCATCTGGATCAAAGTGCTTGTGACAAATGGGCTCCGACGTGGCCTTGTATTCAGCAGCAAAACGAACTTCTCCTGATGGCAAAAGCCCTTGAAGATCCGCCGGTGCAACCGTGACCGTCAAAAAACCCAAAGAAATTGCTTTGGCAGCCCACAATCTGGGAGGGCGAGACAATCGCCAAAGGTCTGGTCTTCGCCGGGAACACTGAGGCACTTCTCGGCCCGAAGAGTCCACAAAGTGCCTTACACTTGGGCACTCCCACAAACTGTGCTGCTTTGCTTTCAATGTAGCTCTGCAATTCATCCTCTTTGACCCACCTAAAAGTCTTGCCTTTGCGATCAGTGAGAGCTTTGAGCTTGCGCCAAGGATTGTCCGATTGTTTGGCTTAGGGAGATGGCCTTAAGCGCTTTTCCAATCCTTTGCTCAACCTTCTCTTTCGACACTCCTTTCTCACAGAGGAAGGTCTTCAGCCATTCTGGAATCACCTGGCATGAATTGCCTTCACCAGTCGGCGCAAAAGTCCTCCACTTGAGCAATTGATACCATGCCTTGCGGAATTTCTGAACCAGTTTGGAACATGTGGGGAACCAACATGAAGCATGAAAGGGAAACAGGGACATGACCCGACCCAACTGCACATGTAACGCACCTTTTCTCGCTATGACTCATGTCATGCGTTCGAACGACGAATGGCTCGGCCTTGAGCCAATGGAGGCATTGGATCGGATGATCCGTGTACCAAGGTTGGGAATCCATCCACAAAGCAGGTTGACAATGGCCACATTGGAGACCTTCTGTATAGCTAGAGCTTCAACTCATAGACTCCCAAAACTTGCATGGTAACCTCAACGGTCACAACTGGAAATGACTGGATCACGAGTGATTTCAACTTTCCACATGCCTGGGTAGTTTCATGGTCAGCGTCCACAATGATCCCAAGGAGCCATGTTATGTGGACAATCGCAAGTGCCCCACAGATAGAGTCCTTTCTCTGAACAAGATTGGTGTGGTTCAGCTCCAAATAAGTCTTGCCCAATGCCTTCTGGAAGGCCTGAAAGAAAGAACGAACCTCAGTCGAGATCATTCCAGTGCGAGCATCAGGCAAGAGCACCAGAAACGTGTCCTCCGTCCTTCTCACATGAGCAGCAAACCAATGCCCCTCAGAAACAAACAACTTTGCTCCTCCAGTTGAGATGGAGAGGCCCCCATGTGGGCCCTGATGGGATCCACATACCACAAGGTCTCCTTTCTTGAAGAAGAGATCTCTGCAAGGACCACTCTGGCAATTTCATCAATGAGACCACTATCCAGGCCCTTCTCCCAAAATTTTGCACTGGACCCAGGATTCCTTTGAAATTCAACAGCAAGGTGGGTGTTGATGCACTCAATGAGACGAGCAAATTCTGGGTCTGTCTCATCCAAGAATCCCTCCGGTTCATAGCCATCCATCTCATACTCACTCTCACCTGCTCCCCAACGTCTTTTGGTGACAGCAATTCGAAATGGATGGAAAATGCGGTCAGAAAGAGCCATCGACCCCGAGTATGTGACATTGTAGAACGAGGCCAAAAGAGGCAGGCCGGCCTTCACAATTGCAAGTTCCAGAGAGGAGTCCCCTCCAAAACCTCGACAAAGGTCAAAGTCTCTTCAAAGACGAACTGGATCTTGATCTTGCCCCCAAAGTCAACAGCTCCCCTTGTCTTGGTCGTCTGAACCAAAGCATATTCACTGGAGGTCAAAAGCACATGACTCACTCCTGCTCGTCTCGGATCACTGGAACAACTCTGGAGAGTCGATCAACCTCCAAGCACACTGCCCCCTGGAGCTTGAGTCCAGTCCTAAGCACCTGGTAGAGCGAGAGGTTTGCAGCCAGCATCTCATCCCGACGTTCAAAGTAGAACAAAACATCCGAGGTCAGTTCCAACGGTGTTGTTCTTGCAACAATGCAGCAAGGATTCTCTCACCCCGGGGAACCATGTAGAAATCGAAGCTTTATCTTTCAGTATCATTGCGAATCTCTCGAGTGTTCAGTGGAAGCGGGTTCACTAGCTGACAAGCCCTTGAGCCCAAACATTGCTTCAATTTCCTTCCAGTTGACTACCACTCAGCCACTCAGTCCAGAACATGAGATTATATTTACTTTGTTTCACCTTATTTGGCCAACATGAAGCAATGGCAGCCCCTACAGCAAGACCCTCCATTCAGCCCACGCTCGCGTTGTCAGGGATTTGGTTGATGCCTCAGATGATGCGTCTGGGCGACTCAGTCAAGCTTCAGAACCTTGGGTCATAGCTGGATGCGCTCGATGTCCCTTTCGGCGAGTGAACGGTTAGCATGTGGTTCGATCCTGTTCGACCTGCGTGGGGATCCGGGATTCACTTCGTTGACTTTGTGTGACTTTGTCCTTGGCAACACGCCTTCACTTCTTTTCATACCGTTGGGGAACCACGCACCTTCTCGATATTCTCTAGAGGCATTGAGAGGGAAGCAGGAGAGGCAAGCAGTTATTTTACAGACTTAATTACGTGCCAGCAAGGATGTGCCACTCTCCAAAGGGCGCGGGTCCACGCGTGCTCAGGCTTGCTTTTACCAGCAGCGGCTGTGACAGCAGAAAAGAAACTTGTGATCCAGGGAAGTCGGTCTATTTTTCACGGGGCAGATCATGCGCCATCTCATTTCCAATATTGCCTGGCCAGTATTCCAACTAATTACTGTAAATTCAACTGTAATAACTGTAATAATAGTTGAGTCCAACTAACTTTTGATGGCTGATGGACAGCGGCAGTTTTATGACTCACAAGTTTCAATTCTTCGAGATGTGGTCTCAACCGGAAATTGTTTGTTGTGAGGCCCTTTGGGCAGGCTTTCCACATGTGCAAGACATAACACGATGCATTCCACTGTTTTTTGGGCCCCAAGAGGACAGAGGTTTGAAGACATTTGCAGAGCTAGCCATGGCTCCTTGGTGATCCGTACAGCCGTACAGCTTGGAGGAGCAGCTGTTGGGCAGAGTCTTGCAATGTAGTTTCTTGTGGTGGAGACGTTGAAGAACCTTCCCAGTTTGTCAAATTTGTAAACATCCAACAGAACCCTTATCTTCCTGTGATTGACAGTCAGCTTGGAGCACCTCAGTTCCAAAACAGGGGTCTGATACACATTTCTGAATAGAGAGCAACCTGGAGGCCCATTTGTTGCTTTGTTTTTGCTGGTTTGGTTTGTTCGTTTCTAAGCCTAGTTCACGGGAAATCACTGGAACGTCCTTTCAGGATCAATGAGTGCTAGTGCAGGCAAGGCAGGGGAAGCGTCCGATAATTGCATTATCGACGGTGAGTATGGAGCACTTCGTTAGCAAAGCGTGAAGGCAAAACTTCGTTAGCAAGAATCTGTGCCTTGCCAGGATACGGTAAATAGAGCTCTTGATGTGTAAAGCCACGGTCCATACACGATCATCCGATCTGAAAGGCCATGTGTCCACGTGTTGATGAGAGGGCAATCAAATGCAATCAAGCATAAGTCCTGATTTGTGAGGCCACGGTCGATAGGCATAGGCTTAGGGAACTAGTTGGTCTGACAACCTTCATCCAGCTGGCTGGTCCAAGTCGCTCAAGTTGGGATGTGGAATGGATTTGGAGATCAGAATTGCAGCTTCAGCATCTTCAGGTCGTGCGTTTGTTTAAATATTGAACTCGTAGCCAACGGGGAGAGGGAGGAGGTTGAGCCTAGTGACTTCAGGAGCTGAGATTGAAGCCACGGACAAGGAAGGCTGGGCGTCGATCTCTCCGCGCGAAGGATCGCATGTCAAAACAGTTTGTGAAATGCTCCATCCTTGCATGGGTCACCCCACTGAAGAGCAACAACAGCATCTGTCGTCCCTGCCAGCGCCGTCTCCCTCAGAATCTGAGGCAGAGCTCCACTGCACTTGGCGGCGGAGAAGGGCGACTGCGAGGTGGTGGACCGACTCCTGGCGGCGAAGGCCGCTGTTGAGGCACTGGATAGGTTCCGCCGGGGACCCTGGGGGCTCAAGGACGGAACGATTTGCAACACACTCGTAAGACAGTCGAAAGGTCCACTCTGAAAGATGTGTAGAGTTGTGGTTCTGTATGTAAACAAAAAGACTCTTATGATGCTCTTGGAGCTGCCATCAGTGCGGTACAATCACCCTATCCACGTTCGCAGAAAGTCGGCTTGTCGGGCTTCCAAGAATGTTTGGTGCATGGTGAACTGGAGCAAAGGGCGCTGTGCAAGAAAGAAACCAAGAGAGGAGAGGAGGCAACTTTTGGTCCACTTAGACCATCTTAGTTCATCCCCTTTCATCAGCGCGGTACAATCACCCATATAGTCTTTGATGTTTGGTGCATGATAAACTCGAACAGAGGCCACTGCAGGCAATAGCCTTTGCAATGGAGAAACTTCCGATTTGCTGGGTTCGAGTGTTCGCCGTCAAGAGTTGTGCAGATGGTGCCCCACAATGGCGTAATAGAAGGTGATAGAGATGATCCCTCCAAAGCAAAACAGAGTTCCAAATGTCCAAAGTGACCCATTCTTCATGAATTGAGAGGGGTTGTCAACATCACGGTGACTTAAACCAACTTCTTTCCACGTTTTTTCCACGTCTTTGGTTCAGCGCCCCCACGACTCCGAGGCCGTACGCCGCTGCATTGGGCGGCGAGGTACGGCCACACCGCCACGGTGGACCGGCTCCTGGCGGCGGGCGCCGCCGTCGACGCGAGGGACAACAATGGCCGGGGCACCGAACGGCCTCAGGGCGAAAGGACGAAGGTCCAGATATCCGATGATACTATTACTATAAGTAGTAAGATCGAATGCTCCAAAAGAAAAGCGATGCCAGGAGCCCCGTTCGTAGCGTCCTTGCGCCTACCCTCCCATCCAAGGGACGAGTGTTTCTCCGCTCGTCCTTCGCTCTTCTTGAGGTCACACGCCTCTCTACTACGCGGCCATTGGCGGCCACCCCGAGACGGCCCAGCGGCTGCTCGCCGCCGGCGCCCGCGCCGACGCCCAGGACGAATACGGCCCGGGGCGCCCGGAGAACGGAGAACGGAGAACGGAGCGGAGCGGGTCGAGGTCTCTCGGCTGATTCGAGGGCGACGGGTCGCCTTGCGCCGATTCACAGCGCGGCCGAGGCGAAACGCCCTGGGATTGGGCCAAAAGGCGTGGCCAGGAGACGCGGATGGCACCGGTTCTGTGTCCCGTGCCTTGGCAGTGCCAAGTCGGGTGATGGGTTTCTGGAAAAGAGAGAGAGGGCGTTGGGAGGAGAGAAGAAGAAAAAGAGGTTCTCCTTCGCGGGCGATTTGGATGAGGTGTTGCATAGTTCTTTGAACCACACCATGTTTCATGGAATTCATTTGGTTTGCTTTTCTCACTGGATGACTCCCCTTTCTCCATCATTGGCATCTGTGAATGTTTTGTTGATTCTGAGGTGGATTGGTCACGAGTTTGAATTGGTGAGTTTTCTTTTCTCATGCGATTTCTTGAGCTTAGAGATGATGAGGGATGTTAGATTTGGCACATCTTGGAGCTTAGACTGCTTAGACTGCATGAGGAAAAACAGCTGTTGCAACAATTACAGTATCCGTCCTCCTACCCTCGCCGACTCGCTTCAATGATTGCTTGCCTCTTTCAAACCTGGCATGAATGGCGCTCTCGCTAGATTGGACCATCTCTGTTCTGGTTATATACATGCTTTGCGCCAAATCAACCTCACCCATTGTGCGACCCGACCATGCATTGTTCGACTACCTCTTGCGCTGCAAGGAGGAGTTCCATCCGGATTCCATTTGATCTTGTGGTTGTTCATGCGCTCACAGACCAGTTACCCAAGCATGTCGATTAGTCATCAGCACCGTGCAGCGGCAATGCGGGGTTTGGAGGAAAGGTCAAGGTCCTCTGTCATTCCACAGTCGAAGGCAAGTTCTTGTGTAGTGGACAGTGGTTGATGTTTCCGCGGATGCCTCCAACCTTTTTAATTAAAGGGCTTGTTTGAGAACCTGAAACCAGTTCTGATCAGGACCTTCATGGTTGACGCAGTGCCGAGAAGTTTTCCAAGCAAACTGTAGAGGGGTTGTTCCGGGCCAAAGTGCTGCTATGCTTCTGTACTGAAGAATATGGCGCCAAAACGGGCGTTGGCTATGAGATATTTTGTGAGCTGGCATTCGCTTACGAAACCCATTTGCTGATCATTCCAATACGAATTTCTCTCTTTCCACTGGAACCACCAGGTCTGGGCAAAGCCCAGAACAAATTTGTCTTTTCACCAGCAGATGGCGATAAATCGAAGACAAGAAGATGGACTCACCCAGATCAGTCGCTCAAGTGGCCACCGAAATTGAGCGAGCCGGCCTGTGGGACTTGGTCGGGTGAAGTGCGAATCCAAAAAGAACGCGCTTCCGCTTGGCGGCCCAGCGGCCCAGCGGCCGGGGGGAGTGGATTCGCTTGATTGGATCTTGATTGGATCATCTTGCCGGTCTGGATGGCACAACCTGTGTCGGGTTGGAGATGGTGGGAGTCATTCTGGAGATTGCAACGTTCAAAGGGTCAAACGGTTTGATTTCGGGCCAGCGCCTTGCAATGCTTTCCACTGTTAGGATGCTTTCCGCAGTTTGCTCTCAGGGTAAAAGGAGACCATGTTGACATATGTTGACCAAGGGCATCCATCTTTTGCATTGCCAAGGGGTTATGGGTGATCTTCAGATCTTTGCACACGGGGTTTTTCTTCGCCATGCCCAGCTAATCGTTTGTTTCCATGTCCAAAGCAAAGATAGAATTTGAGACAGTCGAAAACGACATGAGAATAGCGATATGTCGGAATGTGTTCCATTTGCTGCTGATTTGGATGACTATAGCCACAGAGGACAAAATAGATTGGCGAATGTCACGCGCCTTAAATTGAAGAACTGAAGACGTTGGATTCGTGCAAATCGAGCCAACAGCTTTTGAAACCGCACTGGTGGCGGTTTCAGCATGGCGTTCGGAATGCCACGGAACGAGCTGCGGCTGCTGGCACTCCGCTTGTTGGTCTTGATTCTTGGCTGCTTTGGCACGCTTCTTGCACGGTCGTTCCAACCTCCTGTCATACACATGAGCGTAGCTCCCAAACAAACCACCAAGGGTATCATGAATCCTTGTGTGACACACCTCCACACCAGAAAACCGATGTCCTCGACCGACGCTCAGGAGTCACATCGCCTTTGCCTTGATCCTGCTCGTGGCGTCCCGGCGCGGGAAGAGGTTGGAAGCATCCCTTTGTCGTTTTGGTGTCCCAAATCATTCACTAAATCGAAGACAGTTGATCCAGGGTGACTTCCATTTCCCACCCCACCGACACCGTCCTACCGACGGCCATCCCGCATCCATTGGGCGAAAAAACGCAGCAAAGTAGACCAAGCGCAGTTCCAGAAAAGCAGCCCACGCGATGCTAGTTATGCCCGGGGGGGTTGGGTGCAACATGTGCATCACGGTGGTTGTCTTTCTAATCCGAAACGGGTACTAAATTCAGTAACCATTTCATGGCTCCATGTTCTTCAAATTCCCTCTTGTCCATGTTCGAATTCCCTCTGTTCCAGCCATTGCTCCACCCATGTTGCTGTTCTTCCAATCTTCTTTTGAATCCCTTTCCGGTCTCCAGTGGTCCAAGGTTCTCTTCTTCCGCTTGTGGGAGGGAGATGGCTTGGTCCAGTGTGGCCGGCAGTATCCTTTCGTGGCCTCGAAGTGCATTTGTGGTGGCACCTTGCCCTACATCTGCTGGATTTCCGAAAGTTCCTTGGCGGAAATAGCTGGGAGAGTCGAACCCTTTCACTAGACCACCCGTGGGATAACACGTTCGACCGGTTCGGCACGGAAGCCGTGAGTCCGAACTTGACACAGAACTTGATTGTCATTCGAATTCAATTCTAATCCCCCGTTTGTAGCCGTCCGATCGCTCCGTTCGTCGCGATGTCCTTTGTTCCGTTCGTCGCGAAGCTTGTTCTCCGCGCCGGCAGGTTTTAATGCCTTGTATCCTGATCCAGACATGAGCGCACGTGTGATCGGCCAGACGTCTCTTGGGCCGGTGCGAATCCGTGGATTTTTGGTAGGGAATGGTGGGTCCAGAGGTGTGCAACAGCTTGATGTCCGTTTATTCCTATTGAAACGTGGGATTTGGAGCTGGAGTTGACCTTTCTCTTCCAAAGGCCTTTGACCATCTGAAGGATCAGACCAGACTTACTGCATCCTTCGTGTGTCTTCGAGAGTATGCGTGAATCCAGATATTCTGGAGTGGCCACGTGAATCCATCTTCCGTTTCTTCGATTCTAGCCGGCTCATGTATGAGCATGAAAGACGAGATAGCGGTATGGGTAACGGGGGCACAAAGGGTACGAATGCCGAGGTCAAGCAAACCGACTGTTCTCTTGTTCCACGAGTTTGGACGTAAAACCCTTGTACTCCTGTCTGTCGCTTCGCAGTTCCTTGATCCCGAAAGCACCGCATTCTCGTGCGGCTCACTGTCTGAGGTATTGCTGGTTGGTACTGTCTTTATGTCCTGCGCTCGAAGGCCTTCTACTGCTCTTCGCTTGGCAGCGACGTTGTGATTTGATCGCAGGGAGTCTTGGCAGGGTGAGAGCGCCATCGTGGGGGCGTGGTGCTGGGTGCTCACGGCTGTACCCGCGAAGTAAGGGATGGGATTCAGTTCAGGGATGATGCTTAATCGCTTGATATTCCCAATCTCAACTTGCCAAAAAAGAGCACACACGACATTCGCTGTTTCCCCTACCTACCTACCTACCTACCTTTGACTTCAAGGTTGAGATACTTGGCAAAGGTAGTTTCCAGCACCGGGATTGTCGCATGACACAGCCATATCCTCTCCGTGGGCATGTAAGGAGTCTCCCCGCCAAATCACCTGCATTTTGTTTCTCCATTCAAAGCATCGAATCGTCGGAAGCCAAGGATACTAAGCAGTGCTTATTTGTTGCTGGTGGTCTCTTGGTTGCGTCCAAACTCTGTCCGCTCGGTTGGTGGAATCGCGGGTTTTGACCTGCAAAATTGTTTCAGGAGGAGAAGGCAAGGTTATTTACCCATGAAACGAGGACATTCACGCGCTCCGTCATTCAAGCGCTCGGTGTCGCAGCGGTTCTGCAGGTCTTTCCAGATACCTTGCCGCACCGTTGGCTGTTCCTGCACTATGGTACTGCCATGGTCGGCATGGGCGTACCTCGGCCAACCGAATGGGCAACCACTGCCTGGGTTCCAGGAACGCGGACCCCTTGATCGAACCCAGATGTCCAAGAGCTGACCCCTTCCCAGATGACCCCTACCCATTGGAACCATGACCCCTTCCCTTCCTGGAACGCGAATCCTTCGCCCCTTCGATGTGTTGGAAGAAAGGCCTCGAAAGGCCTTCGGAAAGAGGTTTGGAGCTCTAATGTGGCTTTATAGAAACAACGTATAGAGCTCAATGTGGCACAGGAACCTAACTTGCCTTCCGAGCTGAGGAATGCTAACCGTCCAACTTGCAGCAAGATCGGATGAAGATAAGCTCTGAACTGAGGTTGCCATTCTCTTCCAGTTCATTCTACCTTGGCAGTGCTTCTTGGCTCTATGAAACTCTTCCAGGTCTTCTCTGTTGGTCCGAGAGTTGACACAAGCTTCAGAAATCGGACTAAAGTTCCTCCAGAGAAGAACATCATATTATGATACTCGACACCCACCAGAAAGAGAAGACCCGCTGTTCCCCCGACAACGGGTCGCTGGACGACGACGGCCATCAGAAGGCCTGCTGGGGACCTTCACCAGCTATTTCATCTACTACTTCAGCCTCACCGAGTTCTGCATCAGCCAAGGCATCTCGCGTCTCGTTCTCTGCGCGTCGGTGACACGCAGCGGGCGGTGCGGTGCGGTCCGAGCGCCGCCACGGTGAGTTCCTCCGGTTGCGGAGATCGAGCGCCACGTGTCCATTGACGCCCAGAGTTTGATTTCCTCGGTCCATGCGTCAGAATGCTTTCGTTTTGGTGTTCAGATGTCTCCAAACCGCCTCCAAACCGCCTCCAAACCCGTCATAGACCATCCAAGCGTCCTTAAACCAAACATCGCCAAATCCTCCCATTGTCCTGCCAGTTCCTCCTTATCCCTTCGAACTCCCAGCTACCCCCAATTCCCAGGGGCGGCTCGGCATCTCGCGTATGACTGGACCTTCACACCCGGTGTGCTCGAAAAGCCTGGATCTCTGGTGATGGCATCTCGGAAGCGAAGCGGAGCGCGGTGGGCGGTGGGCGCGGTGATTGGTGAGGGGACCGGGCGGGTTGGTGAACGGAGCTGCTTCTGGGTGGGACATGGTGGGAAGACCCATAAAGAAAGCACAATTGTTACTAGTAAGAATGCTACTATAGACTATAGTCATACGGCCAGGAGCCCCTACCTCGTAGCGTCCGAACGCGAACCGTTCGAGTCGCGATGCCAGGAGCCCCGTTCGTCTCCTAACTTCTTGAGTGGATCGTGGGGAGCTGAACATGAGCACAGAATCCACGTGACTTAAAAATCGTAAGAGTGAGCTACTGCAGCAAAGGGGTATAATTGTGTGAGTAGATTGATGATCCTCTCCTTCACTTCAGCATGGCTGATGCCAAAAAGAAGAAAGCTGACCAGCCAGCTTCTGTGGACCGACTCAAAAGCGTGAGTCTCTCCAGCTTCCTCTCCGTCCCAGTCTTGACGGTGACGGTGACATCGCAGCCGGGAGGTGCACCAACTCCGCAGAAAACGTACGTGTCACGACATGCGGAAAAGTGACTGAAAAGGTGGTCGGTATCCCCCAAGAAATGACAGGTCGGAGCACCGCAAACCAAGAAAGAAAACCCGACAATGAGGTGTTTTCATTGTTTTCCCCCAAGAAATGACCGACCAGGTGTCTCCCAAATTCCTCTCCCTTTCCGGTTGGTCCTGGTTTTCTTGGTCCCAAGAAACGCTTGTTGGGAATTGGTTGGAAAAACGGGGATGAGAGGACCGACCTGTGTGTTCCGGGTCAACCCACCCTCCGTTGGATCTTTTGGATCGCCCTCTGACCAGTCTGCACGGAAGCAGAGGGCGATAGCAAACCAGTCAGTTTTGGCAGTGAACCAGTCTGTAGAGAGATTCACTGCCACTATTGACAGTACTACCAGCATTCACGGAGGGGAAAAAAAGAAAAACGTCAGGTGCGACGCAAAGACCCCACCCACCGGCTGCCCGACGCGTCTCACCAGATCCGTCCGCACCGCACTCCGATCCACGACCGTGGTCAGGTTGTGATCGAATGGACCTTATCTTTTGGCGCCATCACGGTGGTTGTGTCCTACTGCCTCTCGGAGATCTTCAAACAACGTGCCCAGATCTCGGTGATGAAGAGTGAAATTGGAGAGTTGAATGAGATGCGTGCCTCGGCTACAAATGGAACTCTTTAAGCATTGCTTCTTGCCTTTTTTCCTTCTACGTTCTTCTCATGTTAGTCTTTTCTTTTCTTTGTTTTAATTCCGCTTTGTTCTGAACTCGACTTGTATTTTCCCCTTTATTTTTTCCCCACTTATCCCCGCTGGGGGCGACTTTCACCTTTTGAAAAGACTTCCCGAATTCCTTCCCAGGTTCGTCCTCTTTCGTTCGTTCACGCAACGCAGGCGACGTGGCGGCGGCCTAAGCGACCGGTCCAACCCGGAATCGGCGTGGTCCGGACGAAAGGCCGACGGGCGACCAGCACCAAGCCTGCCGTCCCCCTTTTTTCCGCCGAAGAACCAACATACCCGCTTCGGAGGACCTCCGGTTCTCCGAAGGAAACCCCCTTGGACTCGACTGGGGGGGACACATTCAACCTGGACCTTGGTCCAGCTTGTTAAGCATAGCAAGGCTGGAAGGTCCGGGTGAAGCTTTCTGCATGGCTGCTGACATGGGAATGAGACCTCGTTGTCCTTTAGAAATCAAGATCCGTTTGGAAGAATTCGACTAAGTGCAGAACTCCATATTTCAGACCTCTATTATATATTAATATATAATAGAGAGAGAGAGAGAAGTAATAATAACATGTGCTTGCAAGTGCAGCAGAATTCTGAGAGGCGCACCAGCTCGCTCTCTCCAAAAATTGGTTCACCCCTCAAGGATTCCGTCTGTCCACGGTGGTCGCCGGTCGCCACGGATGCGCCACCCAGCCTCCACGGGACTCAGTGGAGCTTGGATGGCGGAAACCCGGACGAAACCCGCCGTTGGGCGGCGGCGTTTGGACCGAAACCGTCGTTACCACCGGCCGGAGGCTGACCTAAATGATGTTTCCAGATGTCCAGCGATGCAGTTCTTGTTGAAAGAAAGAAAGAGCTAGGATGAGCTAGGAGTTGGACCATTAGACATGTAGAATTTGGGAGCCAAAATCACCAGCTGTGTTGTTTTTTTTGTGTTTCAGTTTTGAGGTGTTTGTTGCTTGCCTTGTGGGCACTGCTTTTTCGAAGCTCCGGCGGTCGGATCCTTGGGTTGTCTAGCCCGGATGGCTCAGCTGGGTCAAAGGGTATGGCACCTCATCGGAGCACAAGTGCAGAACACTTAGGACCTGCAGAAGTCTTGCAATTGGACTGTCTCTTTTCGGAGACTACACTCGGGTGTGGGTGTCTTCAGGGTGTGTTTTTTAGACTCCAATCAAAGAGAGATTGACCGTGCTCTGATCCATTTGAGCCTTCGAATGCTTGGTGCGTTTGGAGAAAAGGTCGTGTGAATGTTCGTTGAACCGTTAGCTTTCTGCGAAACGAGCTTAGAGAAAATATTAGACACCCCTGAAACCCAGAAAAAACACAGACAGTTGGGAAGATGAGATGATGAAGATCCTGCTTACCATGTCTTCCCCTGTTGTCACCTGCCCAGCGGGGTTTGGGGTGTCCATTTCATCCATTTGAGAAGCGCACCGGACGGTTGGAGAAGCAAATCCTTTTTGCGCTGCAGAGATGGTCGGTTTAGCGGTGTTGCTCTCTCTCTCTCTCTCTCGGTCGCCCTGATGTTTTTCCTCAAGCTTTGGACAGTCAAAAAGCTGAAGAGGAATACGATCCTAGTTATTCTTTGGCATCACATGTGTCCACTTTCTGAAAGTTTGCGTCCTGACATGTGATTCACTGGGCCCAAAGAGATTTTGTCGATGGGAGGTTCCGAAGCATTTTGGCAACTCATCAACCAGCCTTTGACCCAATGACATCTAAACGTGACCGTTGAAGTGCAAAACTTCTACAGTTCAAAGAAACTAGCCACAATTACCCAAGAACTGAGAGTTGGGTGAAGAAAATAGCATATGGGCAAAAGTTCCTTTTGGCGTTTGGTAAACTCTCATCCGCGGCTTCTCCGCTTCGCTTCGTGCCCTTTCGTCCTCCATCACCAATACCGGCCATGGAGTCCCCAACGAGCTGGTGGCGGAGGCCTATCCGGAGCCTGATCCAGTCGATGGTTGATGAGGGTTGAGAAGATCAGTCAAAAGTCTGGACAAAACAAATATGAAAATAAAGTGTCTAAAGAAGTATAAAAAGCGTTGGGGCGGTCCTTTTCTGCTCTTCCCTCCACCAATGGATCCTCAAAACCTCAACATCGCCGTAACATCGGGAAGTGCGACCGGTGCGGCCAGTGTTTGGTGCTAAGAAAGGAGCCCTGCCTGAGTCAACCAGTCAGTTCTTGGGGAGGGAGTGGAGCCATTTGGGACGCATGTCCTTTGCCCATGTCGGAAACTAGCAGATTTGCTGATTTGCTTTGTGTGGCCTGCCGCACGGGAAAGTTTGCAACACGAGATGTTTGAATCAAGCACCTGTCTCGGACGAGCTCGGAAGCTGTGCCAAGCTGGACGCAGTTCCGCCCTTTCCCACCGTGAAACGAACCCGTTTCGTGGCCGCGGCGGAGTCTGGCCGACTGGCGGAAAGTGTGTCGATCGCGGCATCCAGAGCTCCGGTCGTTTTGCTGTCGATGTCCTCCCTCCGGTCCAGCGCTGTGTGGGAGCCACCTTCTCGGAAAGCGGTGGAGCAGTACTGGACGGAAGAAGCGGGGAAGTTCGGGAAGCTCATAGTAGTAACAAGTGCCACGCTAGTAGTAACAGGTGCCTTACTAGTAGATTTCAAGTCTTTGGTCGTTGGTAGTCTCTGGAGCGAAGACGAGGTCGACAGGGTTCTGGGAAGAGATGCGTCCAATGCGATGTCATCCTGTGAGACACCGGGTCGTGTCTCACCGTGTCACCGGTAGTCCCTTTCGTATACTAGTTAGATCTAGTAGCGTTCTTGTTCCGGTCGTAGCGCTGGCCTCCAAGCTACTTGCGATGGCCTCCACCTGATAGCATCCTTGTTACGTTCGTAGCTTCTTGTTCCTAGCAGTAATGCCAGGAGCGCCCCTAGTAGCTTCTTTGCTCCTAATTCGAGTCGCGAGGCCCTTTGCTCCTAGTAGTAAGGCCAGGAGCCCCTAAGTAGCATCCTTGTTACTAGCGATGCCCTTTGCTCCGTTCGTAGCGTCCTTGTTGCGAAGTTGAAACCGGTGAATTCGCGTCGCAAGTCACTCAGCGAGCTGTGCTCGCCAGGTCGCCGCAGGAAGCGCTCAGACTCGCCGACCGCCAGGGGCGAAGAGCCATCCGTCGCAAGCTGAGAGCCCTCTCCAAGCGCTTGAAACAGAGTCACCAAAAGTTCACGACAAATGTATGTCGGTATATTCTTTCATGTCGGTGTTCTTTCTTTCTTTTGACCTGTAGACCTGCTCTTCCTTTAAACATTCACGACTCGGCTGCGTATCTGTGCCGGTCTCTCTCCGTACGGCACTGGGCGCTCTTGTCAGCTATGTGATTGGCCCAGGAGGCGAAGAAAGGAACGAAGTGGCACACCAATGAGTGGCGCTCAGGACTTCAGACCATCGTGGACATGGGCAATCCTGTTGGAAACAGCGGCGGTGTATGCTTTGATCTGCTTTAATCCTGCTTTGATCTGCTCTGTATGTGTCACAACAAGCATGGGTGGTGTAGACTTGCAGGCGAACTGTCATGCAGTGAGGCTCCTGCAGAAGTTAGTGACACAGCTTGTAAAACCTCTTGCTTCCTTGGTCTTGGCCTCCGGTTTCAATTGTCAAAGAAATCTAGGCGGCTGGTAATGAAGGGCAGGGCTACTGCCAAAGCATTTGGCGTTCGATCATAATTGGCATTATTAGGCATGTGACATGCGTGTCAGGAAGATGAGCTGCTGGACTAGACCGTCGCTCGCCTTGGCCTTGAGGCACGTATGCCCCACGCATGTGCGCATGCGTGCGAAACCCGCAGTGTGTGCGCGTTGCCCAGTTCACTGAAAGCTTGCGCTTATTGTATGCAGCCCTTCCATGTTTATTTGATTTGTTTGTTCCGTTCAAGATAATCATTTGGTGATCATGTGCAATCATTTGTTTGCACCGGAGTGCTCAGTTCTCTTGAAAGCATTCAGCATTTGAAGTTCATTTGTTCAAAAATAAAGAAAAATGGACTGCTTTAGGGCAAGCAATAGCAATCGGTTTAGGCTGGAGGAACGTTCCTCAGACGCCTAAGACCACGACTGGGACGTTCTCAGGTGTTGCAGTTGCGTCGTGTCCTTGCCGTCTCTTTGGTGAAGCGCAAGCGACATGAAGCGGCGCAGGTCGCGACCAGGCATCACTGGTTGACCAGGCAATGAGCACTTAGCAAGGACGCTATCAGGTGGAGGCCATGGCAAGTAGGTTCGAGGCCATCGCTATTAACAGTAAAGCTTTCTTAGTATGAAGGAAAGGCGCCTATCCCGCACTGCTATGACAGACCGGAAATGCGGGACAGGTCCAGTTCCGGACCAGCACGAGACGTACGACCGGCGGAGCCGTGTACGCACCGGTCGTTCCCGGGACCTTCTCCAGTTCCGCAAGTCGGACGCGTCGTCTCACGGTTGCGACGCGCAGGTTAGACGAAGCAGGTTAGACTCGACGAGGAGTAGGGACGCGTCTGGTGGTGGAGGCCAATCCGCTCTTCATAAGCCGTAAGCCTTCGCGATGAAGGGAAGGCGATCGGACCGCAGCGAACGATTCTGATGTTTGTTTCGGCCTCGTCCTCGTCCTCGTTCGGGGACTCTGGCTGGGCCGCGTTCGGCGTTCGGCCCGGTCCACGTGAATCTCGATGCGAGACCGTGTCGGAGAATGGAGCTTTTAAAAGTCGATGGCTCTCATTTTTTGGGTTCAGTATGTAGTAAAACTCCATTCTCAGATCACAATACTCATTTTGAATCAGCCTATTTTTGAGCAGTTCGTGTTTGTTCAGTTCGTTCTATGGTGCAAGACCACCTGGGTCCAATTCCTTCGCTACCAATTTGGTTCAAGAGGGCTGAAACCCTGGGTTCACCAAGCTTCTTGTTACTACTAGTAAGGCACTTGTTACTGCTAGCGATGCACCTGTTACTACTTGCTTCTTGTTACTAGTAATGGCCACAAGCTCAAACCGGTTCGCCGACGCTTCAATGGAACCCCCCCCTTCGTATCTCCAGTTTGGGGCTCGCCACTGGTTCGCTTCAGGTGAGTCACGCTAGGACGCTCCGCTCCGTGACGCAGGTGACCGTGGCTTCGTCGCAGTTCGACGGACCGAGCGCGGTTCTGGTTGGACCGGAGACTGAGTCGGGGGTTGGCCAGGTGACTTGCACGGATCTCAAGAGAATGCTACAAGCGTGTAGGGTTCTCCTTTGCTTGTGTGTGAAAGCCGTTTTCAGCATCAAGACTGAGCACACCATGAAGTGTTTGGCTTTTCTGCTGCCATTGGCCTACGGCTGGTGGTGCGAGACCAGCAAGCGTCATGGTTGCCGTGGGCAGTCGCGGCAGTTGGTCCGAGAGACCACGGCGGTGAATCCCTTTTTGCCCTTCACAGAGATCAAGAGTAACGTTGGCAACAATGCGGAGCCCATCGTGGTGGATTGGGACAAGGATGGTGATTGGGACGTGATCCTGAAGACCATGGATGAGCTGTTGTTCTTTGAGTTCAAAGCCGAAAACCATTTCGTGCAAATGGAGCCGAGTCCCTTCAAAGGCATTCCAGGCGGAAGTTGTCGACCAGCGGTTGCAGACTGGGATGGTGATGGACGTTTGGACTTGATTGTGGGAGCCGAGGCGCACCTGAAAACGGAAACGATAAATCACTCAGTCTATCTCACTCAGTCCCTCAGTCTCAGGTCGGGTCTTTTGACCATCTGTCTTTGACGAACCTCAGGGGTTGTCATGTGCTGCTGGGCGCAGTCCAGGGTGTTGCCGTTGGAGCTACGTTTTCTTTGCCGTTCTGTCTCGTTGCAGCTGTGCGCGTCGCTGAGTGCCGAGTGTCCGGTTCTCGCTCCGTTACGTCCTTTGCGTCCGAACGCGCCGGTGGTGACTGTGGTTCTTTTGCTCGTTTGACTCTTGTGGGGCCCACTGGAGAGGGGACATACCTTAAGAGTCGGAAATAGGAAGTCGCGGCTGTTGTTACTGCATGGCGTGTGGAGGTGTGGTGAAAAGAGCATGAAAGTTGGCAAAAACCCGATTCTGTACCAATGAAGTCCTTTGGTTAATTGTGACCTTTTCTGGGCCACAAGCGGCAGGATGGTATCAGGTACTATCAGAAAGATGGGGACGGGCAACTCCAGAGGCGAAGCGGAGGAGAGAACCCCTTTGAGCACATCTACACGAAGCACGGTGCCTGCTCGGATCTCTCCATTGAAGATTGGGATGGTGATGGTGACTTAGATTTGTTGGTCTCCGGTTATGAGAGGCCAGTGAGTTATTTTGAACGATCCGGAACCCAGCTTGTGCTTCTAGAAGGAGAAAGGAATCCATTTCATGCCATTGCAAATCAAACCATCACTCACAGGGCAATCATGACCGATTGGAATGGAGATGGATACATGGATGTGATCTTGATGGTCAAGCTGTTTCACAAGTGGACGCAAGTGCAAGGTGATCCAATGAACAACAAGGTCGGGTGCCCCATATTTTTGTATGAGCAGAAGAAGATGGATGGCAAGATGACCTTGTCGTGGAAGGATGAAGAGTTCTTCCGGAACCCGAACTGCAGGTCATTTGATGGTTCTGGTGCATCCTTTGTGGACATTGACCAGGATGGTGATCAAGACGCTGTCTTTGGGTCGTTCCAAGGACCCTTGCATGTCTACGAACGCACTTCCAAAGGCCTTGTGAAACCTGAAGATGCGAAGTCTTCGGCCGGTTCTCCATTGGACATGATCCAAGTGGACACGTCGGTCTTTGGGGGGGTGACAGGCTACTACTACCCCGTGTTGGCTGATTGGGATTTGGATGGAGACCTTGACCTGGCTTTTCTTCATTATGCGTACTCTGGAGAAGATCGATACTTTGAGCATTTGCCAGACAACACGGTAAAGGAGTTGACTGGACCGCCCAACACCTCTTGTCCCATTGATTGGAGCAGACACTTCAGCTTTGTGGATTTTGATGGAGATGGAAAGAAGGACCTCCTGGGATTCCAACGTGGTGTCGGTGTGGTCGTTTGCGTTCAGACATCTTCCGGCTTTGAGATGGTGCAGCAGGAGGATAACCCGTTCTACTCCCGAAAACACCGTTGCTATGATGAGGTGAAATGTACATGGGATGGAGACAATTACTACGGTTACTTCTCCTTTCTAGGTTACCCGTCCTTCTTGGATTGGGATGCCGACAGTGACATGGACATGCTCAGGATCACAACGACCAAGAAGGCTGGGGATTGGTCAACCAATGATCGTAACTGCTTATACTGTACACAGAAGTGTTGTCCTGTTGACATAGAGCATTTTCGGAATCGTTGCATCACTTGGACAGTGCATCCACTAATTCGAGATTGAAGACTCAGAAGCTAGGTCTCTTTAGAAACAGCAGCTGTACTGATATGAGTAGAGCAACGCTGGCTTTGGAGACAACGATTTGACAGAACACTCCAGGTATACTTATATGAACAGCATGCCAATGGCACGTTCACTGCCCACGCTCTCCCTCTTCCCACAGCCCGTGCCTTTTCAGCTGAAGATTTTGATGGAGATGGTGACATTGACATGATGATTCTCCCACCCAACTCAGAAAACTGTTTGTACTTCGAGCGCCGGGAGGATGGAAGTCTTGAACAACTGTTTGGTACCGACAACCCCTTCGATGCAGTTTGCCAGCGAATGAGCGGAGGCACTGTGGGCTCGACCACAGGAGATGCAGAACGGTACGCTGCTCTGGCAGACTGGGATGGAGATGGTGAGACAGATCTACTACTTGTCGGTCGCTACAAGGTGAATCTTTGGTCCAATCGCCCGAAGGAGGACTTTGTCGAAGTGGTGGGACAAGAAAATCCGTTTGCTCAGCTCGGATTGTTCCAAGAGACGGATGTGACACTGGTGGATGTGAACGGTGATGGCAAGATGGATGTGGTTTTCCCCCCACAGTCGATCAATGTCTTGAAAGACCATCAGCCATACAAGTATTTCAGGCATGAAGACAATGCTATTAGGTTGGAGGCCATCACTAGTAGGTTGGAGGCCATCGCTCGTACGTAGGTTCCTTTTGCTGTTGGGCTTCATACATGTTTGGGTGAAAGACCTCAACTTTTCCACTGCTGTATTTCAGGCATGAAGAGAGTGGATTGTTGGAACAGCTGGGTCCAGCGAATCCCTTCGAGAAGGTTGGCTACGACAGGGCGCTGACGCACTCCAATGCCAAGAATTTGCTTGTGGATGTTGATGGCGATGGCGATTTGGACATCGTTCATGGGGAGTTACACTATACCAGGAATGACGGGGGGCACTTCACCTACCTAGATCCTGCTGATCCAGATCATCCTTTTCGTGGGATCCACGACACTTACCTCTCATGCTGGACGTTTGTGGATTGGGATCAGGATGGTTACAAGGACTTGGTGCATTCCTATCTGGGCAGAACATTGTTTGAGCAACTGTTCCTTGTCCAACAAGTCCTGAAGGTTGCCCAGGACATGAAGCGAGATGGGGTCAGTGCCGCTGAGATCAAGGCTTGGATGGTGAAGCAATTGGCTTCCCAGATACGTTTCTATCAAAATACAGCCAATGCGAGTTTCCAGGAACTCACTGGTTCTGCCAACCCCTTCCATGAGATCGATTTCTTGGACATCAATTCCATGTGTCCCTCTTTGGTTGACCTTGACCAAGATGGAACTTTGGAATTGGTGATGGGAACAACTGGTTTGACCGCTAGTGGCTCGGCAGAGTATGAGCACAGACCCAGGCACGCGTTTGGCCCGTTTGAGTTCATTCTTTTTGTGGTTCTCTCGTGTTCTCTCATCTCGGGTGTTCTCTTTTTTGCGTTCTGAGGTAAGCTGCTGTACTATGTGCAGCAAAATGGCACATGGAGGCACATGACGGAGACACCTTTCGATGATTTGTCCATCCATGTCAATGAGAATCGCCCTGTTCATCCTCGATTCGTGGATTGGGACAATGATGGTTCGATGGACTTGATTTTGACGGGAACCGATCGGGTGCAATTCTTCCAGCGGGGTGTGTGCAAGCCTTTGTCCTCCTATTGCCGTTCGGGTTTCTGTGATCAGCAAAGCTCCAAATGCAGATGCTCCACAGGGGAAGAAGGAGAAGACTGCAGCCTTTGTGGGATGTTCCATTTCGATGTGAGTGGTTCTTGCAGAGCATGTCCTGGTCACAATTCGTTGGCAGGTACTTGCAGCCGTCGAGGCAGGTTCGATCATGGAGAGTTGTTCGGATGAGAGATTGCTGGCGTTTGCTTGTGATTCTTTCCATTTGATCCTGAGATCTCTTTTTAGGTGGGTCATCTTGGGTCTCTTTGGCGCCGTCTAAAACACGAGTTTCTTGTGTGTGTGTGTCGCACCCTGGTTCTAAGGGTTTTCCACGTTCTTGCCTTTCCACTACAACCACGGCATGTTTCACTCCTCCCACTGACGCTTGGCAAGGGTTCCTACCGCTCGAACGGTTTTCCAGCAGGGGGCTCGTGGACGCATGGATGGCACGAGCCAACGAAGACTCATCCATGACGTCGTGATACCAGACCTGATCAGTCTGGCGTACCTGCGACTTTTTTGAACCGTTGTCCACGCTTTTCCAATTTCTCTTGTTTGCTTCCATGGTTGTTCATGATACTTCCCACAAACCTGCTCTTCCCCAGCAGCTGCGCCGCCGGTTTGATTGCTGCCGCCTTGTGACAACAATGTTAAACTATTCAAGTGATCGGACCCATGCACCTTTCCGTTCCCTCACCTTCCTTCCCAACGTGGCAATTGAGTCTAGCTGAAAACCCAAGTTCGAAGTGTGTCACTACCTTCGGCATCCTTCTCCTTCCTTCGGCCTGCAGGACAGTGCGAGGACGATGAAGATGCACGGATGAAGAACGCTGACTTGAACATGACGGGTTTCAAAGTGGCTTCTGCCAGGGGCACTGGCCGCTGCACGTGCGCAGAGCCATTTTTTGGACCTGGTTGCGAACAGGGACTGTGCCCGCCAGGACAGCGCTTGGACAGGCACGCACTTGGCGTGGAAAGGTCCGAGAAGTACCAACAGTGGCAACTGTGTGCACCCTGCCAAGCTGGAAGATTCAAGAATTCCTCCGGCAATGAGGAGTGTTCTCTTTGCCCAGCTGGGCAAGTTCCAGTGAATGGCACCCATTGTCTTCCCTGTTCTTCAGGCACCGTCCCATCACCCGACGTCCCGGAAACCTGTGTCCCTTGCGCCGCCGGCGACGTGGCGCTCACCGGCGCGGCCACCTGCACGCCCTGCCCGGCGGGAACGGCGCCCGACGGCGAGCGCAGCGCCTGCGTGGCCTGTGAGGCCGGAGCCTTTGCCAGGCGGGGCTCGGGACCGGGAGGTTGGAAGGTCAGACATGGGCAACATGGAAGCGGAACACCACCTGTTCTTTTTTTGGAAAAAATGAGGAACAATGTATATGAAAGTGAAAGTATAATGTTATTGTTTTTTGGTGTTGGAAAAGTGTATGATACAGTATAATGAGTTGTTCCAAGAGACCATGGTCCACTTCCAGGGAGACGTGTGTCAGCCGTTTCTCCCTGCTGAGGCCCCGCTCCAAGGAATGCAGCTTGTGCCCCGCAGGCACTGTTCCAAACAAGCTGAAGAGCGATTGCAACGAGTGCATGGGTCAGACTTATGCACTTGAGGGAGATGAAGTTTGCCAGACCTGTGCCTTTCCATCGATGATCTTGGGCGAAGAGAATTGGTGTACGCCACTCTACACCATGCTCTTTGTCATTGCGTTCATTCTCTTGTCTCTCTTCATCTTAGCCATCTTTGGAAGGTTGCGCCTTGAATGCCTCAAACGGCGACTCAACAAACTGGCTGCGGCCAAAAAGTGGCAGGAGCTGCATAGCACGCAGGCTAAGCCGCTGGAATATGGCTTGTGGCAGAGTAAAGCTTGCAAGGTGCTTGCAGCTCGCAAGGCCGATGTGAAGTCACGTTCTTTGCAGCTTGGCATCTCTTTGCAGTACGTCTTTGAGAAGCTGGAGACGGTCTATGAGGAGAAAGCACAGCAGGTGGAATGGCGAATGGACGAGTGGGGTCCCGTGACCAAGAGTGGCTTCTTGGTCAAGGTCCGCAACTGCAAGCTTCCGGTGGATCCCCATCATGCCTGGCACAATCTTCCGATTTGTGATCACTCAGAAGATCCCAATTTCCATCAAGTGGCAGGAGTCTTAGCATATGGCCCATGGGCTTTGGGTAAAGGCCTATGCTGCCCACGTGATGGTCGCCCAGATTGCAGCATTGTGGATGCATTGGAAATTGAATCCAATAGTGCCAGGGCAACATGGTTCCTTTCTTGGGTCTGGGGCTACAGATTCACCACCGTGGTCAAGGCATCTTGTTTACTCCGACTCGTGGGAGGGATCTGATTTGACACCAGGAACGACTGTGAACGAGCGCCCAGATTTCACGATGTTCCTTTCGTTCCTTTCGCCCCCAACCCAAAAAATAATGACAAAACATGTGATGTTCAAGGCACTTGTTACTAGTAGCGTGGCACTTGTTCCTAGTAGCTTCTTGTTACTAGTAGTAAGGCACTTGTTACTACTAGCGATGCACTTCTTGTTACTACTAGCAACCAAAAGTCTGAAAAGTCGGTCAAAAGGTCGGTCGGTCGGTTCGGTGCCGTCCTCGTCGCCGATCCGATCGCGCAGGCTTTGGCGCGATGGTGGCAAAGGCACCGCATCGTGTCAGGTGCGGCAGAGGCCAATGGAAAGGGAACCTACGTGTGGTGGTGCGTTTTTGTGAACAACCAGTTCAGGATGTTGGAAGAGGGTCAGGAAGAAGCACCAGACAAACTTTTCCACGTCTTTGGCCAGCAGCTGGAGGGTATTGGCAAGATGCTCATGTGCTTGGATCAGATGAGGGGAAGCCAATATACTTCGAGAATTTGGTGCATTTTTGAGGTGTTTGTTGCTTGTCAGAGGCCGGGGGCCGCTGGTCGCCTCGATGTCTTTCCGTCGGACTTGATCTTCAAGTAGTTTCTTCCGACCTTCTGACGACTTCTGACGTAACAAGTGCATCGCTACTAGTAACAAGTGCCTTACTAGTAGTAACAAGGACGCTATTAGAAACAAGTGCCTTACTACTAGTAACAATAAGAATTAGAATTGTAACTACTAGCAAGGGAATCTACTAGTTTGTTGTTCATTCTTCCACAGCACACATAAAAGAGGCGACATGTTCGTAGCACACTGCGTGTCTTGAGGAGCATTCCAACCACCTGGAGGTGGGCGCCATTGAGTCTTTGAAGGACGCTGGACGGGATGAGATTCGTCCGATCCTTCAATCCGATGGGTTCAACGGTAGGGGGTGTGGTCCTTACTAGTAGTAACAATGTTTGCTATTAGTAACAAGTGCATCGCTTCTAGTAACAAGTGCCACGCTACTAGTAACAGGTGCCTTACTAGTAGTAACAATGTTTGCTATTAGTAACAAGTGCATCGCTTCTAGTAACAAGTGCCACGCTACTAGTAACAAGTGCACTTCTCGACTTGAGCTGGACTGGTCAGTCGTGCCCGGGCCGTGGACTGGACGGTCGACGTTCCATCCTCTTTCCGACCTGCAAACGGGGGAGGAAAGCTTACTACTCTTGTTTCTACTAGCTTCTAGTAGCGATGCACTTGTTTCTAGTAGCTTCTTGTTCCTACTAGTAAGGCACTTGCTTCTAGTAGCGATGCACTTGTTTCTAGTAGCTTCTTGTTCCTACTAGTAACGCACTTGCTTCTAGTAGCGATGCACTTGTTTCTAGTAGCTTCTTGTTCCTACTAGTAAGGCACTTGCTTCTAGTAGGGATGCACTTGTTTCTAGTAGCTTCTTGTTCCTACTAGTAAGGCACTTGCTCCTAGTAGGGATGCACTTGTTTCTAGTAGCTTCTTGTTCCTACTAGTAAGGCACTAGCTTCTAGTAGCGATGCACTTGTTTCTAGTAGCTTCTTGTTCCTACTAGTAAGGCACTTGCTCCTAGTAGGGATGCACTTGTTTCTAGTAGCTTCTTGCTAGTAAGGCACTAGCTCCTAGTAGCGATGCACTTGTTTCTAGTAGCTTCTTGTTCCTACTAGTAAGGCACTTGCTTCTAGTAGCGATGCACTTGTTTCTAGTAGCTTCTTGTTCCTACTAGTAAGGCACTTGCTCCTAGTAGCGATGCACTTGTTTCTAGTAGCTTCTTGTTCCTACTAGTAAGGCACTTGCTCCTAGTAGGGATGCACTTGTTTCTAGTAGCTTCTTGTTCCTACTAGTAAGGCACTTGCTCCTAGTAGGGATGCACTTGTTTCTAGTAGCTTCTTGTTCCTACTAGTAAGGCACTAGCTTCTAGTAGCGATGCACTTGTTTCTTGTAGCTTCTTGTTCCTACTAGTAAGGCACTTGCTCCTAGTAGCGATGCACTTGTTTCTAGTAGCTTCTTGTTCCTACTAGTTAGTAGTAAGGCACTTGCTCCTAGTAGGGATGCACTTGTTTCTAGTAGCTTCTTGTTCCTACTAGTAAGGCACTTGCTCCTAGTAGGGATGCACTTGTTCCTAGTAGCTTCTTGTTACTGGTAGTAAGGCCAGGAGCCCCAAACGTAGCGTGGGGGAGGACATGGTTTTCGAGTGAAGGACGGGAAGACATCGTCGCAGTGGGTCGTCGTGGCCGCAGGAGTTGACCCAGGAATGTCGAGTGGATGCCCAGCAGGCCAGGGAGAGACGGTCGACAGGCCCACGGAGTTCACACGAACTCTCGTGGGAAAGAGCTGCGCATACACCAAACGTGCGGTAGTAATACAGAGGCGGGATCATACCCCCTCGGGAATCATAGCACATATCCAAAGATCCCTGGCTGGACTCCTTAAGTTTCATACAGGCTCAAGTGGTTCTTGGATGTTTGTCGTTAGTTTCTGCAAGGCCAAAGCTTCAGTTCAAGCAGATGCTGATGCAATCAAAGAGCACATCCAAAAGGAGCATCAATCCTTTGAGTATGTGAACCAGACGGTGGAGCAGGCCCTTTGGTGTGAAGTCATCAAATTCCTGGAGCAATCCGAGGGAATCTCCGAAAGCGAAGAAATGCCTTCGACCCAAACTCCGCAAGAGTCCTCCGAGGTTTCGGAAAGGACCAGTTCCGACAAAGACTTCGAGAGAGACAGGGAGTCTCGGTGCACTCTTCAATGATCTCCAGACATGGCTGGAGAATGTCTTCGGCTCGCCTGAAGCACAAGACTTCAAGTTTGGGTGAGTTGTGAAGCACGTTTGGCCCCTCGTTGACAGAATTTGGTTCGAGTCAAATTGCTGATAAGAGGATTTCTAGAAGACATGCCAAGAATTCTGTCTCAATGAATGCAGCGAGCACCAGGCCTCTAAGTGTTTCGAGATGCTTTTAGTCTGCAGTTTTGTTGCCTAGTGTCGGGCGCGCAAATTTCCTGGTATCATTTGTGCTTCGTCAAGCTCTGAAAAAGTGTTCATTCCAAGAACGGGATGCGTTACGCTTTCGAAAGAAAAAATAGTAGATAATTCAAAAGGAAACCGCATTAGTGACAAGATGGTTGGAAGAAAGCAGAGAGAAGAGAAAGGTCTAAAATGTCTAATGGAACACGAGCAGAATAAGAAACACAAAAAAAATGATTGAACCAAAAAAGAAGAAAAACAAAAGGAAAAAAGAAAGGAAGGGAAGGCATGAAAGAAAGGAACAGAACGAAGACATCAGGAGCCCCGAACGTAGCGTCCGATCGCTCCGTTCGTAGCGATGCCAGGAGCCCCTAGTAGCGAACCTTGTTCCTAGTAGTACGGCCAGGAGCCCCGAACGTAGCGTCCGATCGCTCCGTTCGTAGCGATGCCAGAATCCCCTAGTAGCTTCTTGTTACTACTAGTAAGGCACTTGTTACTAGAAGCGATGC